GTGGGAGAGGGAGAAGCAGGCTTCCCGCCAAGCAGGGAGCCCGATGTGGGGCTCGATCCCAGGACCCTGGGACCATGACCTGAGCCGAAGGCAGATGCTTAACGACTGAGCCACCCAGGCACCCCAGTCTAACCCTTTTTTCTAAGCCTTAGATTAAAATTTAGCCAAAATAACACATAGGATTATATTTTACAATCATCAGTTTATAACTTTTGGTTCTTACAGGTCGTATTTCTGTGCCTATTGATTTACAGAAAGTGGACCAGTTTGATCCATTTACTGTTCCAACCATAAGGTATGTTCCAGATCATTGATCATTCCATTTTTGTTTGTGATTATTACTCGGAATTTGAAGTAGATTGAATTAGATCCCTTTCAGAGACGCAGCTACTCTGAGGCTATATGATGATGCCGTAGTAAAGCAACATTTCCTAGTGAGTTCTACATAACACAGGCTGCTGTTCTCTAATAAACAGATTGTAAGTTCAAGTAAGTTTGAGAAATAACAACTTAAACAGACAAAATGTTCTTTACTGCAAAATTTCCCAGTTTTTATTATGCTGTTATGCATGGAAAACTCCAAGAAGAGATTGTGATTTTTAGAATATCCCAAATATAGGTGGTCACACAATTTTTTCACAGAAAATCTTGTGGGATTCTTGTGCTATCATACACTGAGTAATATTGACCAAGAACCAACTTTACAATTCTTATTCTAGGGTGCTGTGTGGCTCAATTGGTTAAGGGTACAACTCTTAATCTCAGCTCAGGTCTTGATCACTGGGTCATGAGTTTAGGCCCTGAGTTGGGCTCCACACTGTGCGTGGAGCTTACTTAAAAAAAAAAAAAAAAATTAAAATTCTCTTATTCTGGGGCACCTACCTGGCTTAGTTGGTAGGGTATATGATTCTTGATCTTGGGGTCATGAGTTCGAGCCTCACATTGAGTATGGAGTGAAAAAGTAAAAAAAAAAAAAAATCTCTTATTCTATTATTTGTAGCTCCATCTGCCATGAATTGGATGCCATTTCCATTAATGATGAGGGAAAGGAGGGAAACGAAGCCGAATCTGATATCAAACATAGAACCAGAGGTATGTTAATATATTGAAGTCTCACTTTAACATAATTTTCTTATAAAGACATCCTTCTGTCAGTCCGGTAATTAATTCTCCTTGGATTCAGCCCAGAATGGATACAATGTTTATCCTGAAACCAGCTCAGTTACAAATAATATCATAGCAATGTTTCTGTCCTTTCTTCATCAATTGCCCAAATGGTGTTGTTGAATCCGATTTGAGTCAACAGATAATTACTAAGCAACATTTAAATGCCAGGATCTATACTATAAGATTAAATAGTCAATTTGTGTGGGCGCCTGGGTGGCTCAGTTGGTTAAGCGACTGCCTTTGGCTCAGGTCATGATCCTGGGGTCCCGGGATCGAGTCCCGCATCGGGCTCCCTGCTCGGCAGGGAGTCTGCTTCTCCCTCTGACCCTCCTCCCTCTCATGCTCTCTGTCTCTCATTCTCTCTGTCTCAAATAATGAATAAAATCTTAAAAAAAAAAAAAAAATAGTCAATTTGTGTTGATAGTTGACTCTCACAATCTTAGGTTCAACAGTAACTTATTTAACAACTACTATGTATGCAGTACTTTTGTTCTTTGTTCTTGATGTATCCAAATGAGTGTTAGGGTAAATATATATCTAAACTGTGGTTGAATTGTATATTCAAGAATTTGAAGGAGCTGGGGAATTTATAAATCTTCCTGCTAATAGAAGCCAAATCTTCCAAAAAAAAAAAAGAAGGCAAATCTTCATAGGCCAATACCCAAGAGACACTCTATAGCTACAGAGCCAATAGAACTTCCTATGATGATAGAAATGTAATGCACTGCCCAGTGTGGTACTCATTAGCCACGTGTGGCACATTCCACTTGAATTGTGAGAAACCTGATTTTCAATTTCATTTAATTTTAAATAGCCACATGTGGCTAGTGACTGTTGTAACACAGTGCAGATCTGTGATCTCTGATTGACTTTTCTTGGTCAAATGTTGCTACCTTCTTTCAAAACCCAAGCTCAGATATCACTACATAAAACAAAAACAAAACAAACAAACAAATATCACTTCATCTATTCCAGCTCTAACATAATACCTAAACATAGTACATTCCACTATTAATGTTTGTAGAATGATTACAAGCATTCTGTCTAAAGTATTTGAGGGGCACCTGGGTCGCTCAGTCAGTTGGGCATCTGATTCTTGGTCTTGGCTCGGGTCATGATCTCAGGGTCATGGGATCGAGCCCCACGTCTGGCTCTGTGCTCATCGTGGAGTCTGCTTGTCCCTCTCCCTCTGCCCCTCCCCCGTCTCTCAAATAAAGAGTAAATAAAATCTTTTAAAAAAATAAAGTATTTGAAAAACATCTCCAACATGAAAAATCAGAATAAACTGGAAAAAGGAACTCAGAGAAAACAGATAATGCAAGGAACAAAGAAAACCCCTTTTTTTTTTTAAGTAATCCCTATGCCCAACATGGGGCTCAAACTCACAACTCAGAGATCAAGAGTCACATGTTCTACTAATTGGGCGAGCCAGGCACCCTGAAAACCTTTTTTTAAAAAAGTAATATCCTCAGAGAATAAGAGAAGATAGTGCATCCATGAAGCAAGATCAGAATGCTATGAAAAGAAACATTCAGAGAACAAGAAAGAGGTCTTAGAAATCAGAAACATAATCATTAGAAAACAAAATTCAGGGGAAGGGTTAGAAAAGGAAAGTTAAGATTTTCCAGAAAGTACTACAAAAAAAGATAAATTTGTTGTTGTTATTTTAAGGAGGAAAAAGATAAAGAAAATTAGAAGAATGGTTCAGGGGCGCCTCGGTGACTCAGTCGGTTAAGCGTCTGCCTTCAGCTCAGGTCATGATCCCAGGGTCCTGGGATCGAGTCCTGCATCGGCTCTTTGCTCAGCAGGGAGCCTGCTTCTCCCTCTGCCTGCCGCTCCCCCTACTTGTGCTCTCTTTCTATTTCTCTCTGACAAATAAATAAAATCTTAAAAAAAAAAAAAAAAGAATGGTTCAGGAGGTCTAAAAAGTGACTATGGGAGTTTTAGAAAAACAACAAACAGGGAGGGAAAAAAAATCCAAATTATATAGGAAACCATTGCAGAAATGAGCCCTTTATTGAAAAGGGTCAGCATTGGGGCACCTGGGTGGCTCAGTCGTTAAGCG